GGATCGCATGGGATTCCTATACAATCCCGATACAATTCTCATCGGATCCTATAGGATCGCATTGGATTTTTGTACAGTCCATATAATATTAATATAGGACTGGTATACGCTTCCTATAGGACCCTATAGGACCGCATGGAATTCCTATACAATCCCTATACGATTCGCGTAGGATCCCTATAGGATTCTTTTCGGACCCTATAGGGTCGCATGGGATTCCTGTACAATCCCTTTACGATTCCTACAGGATCCCTATGGGATCGCATGGGATTTCTATAGGATTCCTTTATGATCCTTTAGGATGGCATAGGGCTCCTATACAATCCCTATTCGAATCCCTGCAGGATCCTATAGGATCGCATGGGATTCCTATACAGTCCCCATAGGATCCCTATAGGATCCCAGAGGATCGCATGGGATTCTTATACAAACCCTATAGGGTTCCGAACGGATCCCATAGGATCGCATGGGATTCCTGTACAGTCCCTACAGGATTACTTCAGGATCCTATCTGATCGCATGGTTTTCCTATACAAGCCCTATAGGAGTCCTATAGGAGCCTATCGGATCATATGGGATTCCTACACAATCCCTACACGATTCCAATAGGATCCTACAGGGTCGCATGGGATTCCTATACAATTCTTTCCACGATTCCCATCGGATCCTATAGGATCGCATTGGATTCCTTTACAAACCATATAATATTGTTATAGGACTGTTATACGCTTCCTAAAGGACCCTATAGGACCGCATGGAATTCCTATACAATCCCTCTACGGTTCGCGTGGGATCCCTATAGGATTCTCTTCGGACCCTATATGATCGCATGGGACTCTTATACATCCCCTATAGGGTTCCGATCGGCTCCCATAGGATCGCATGGGATTCCTATACAGTCCCTACAGGATTCCTTCAGGATCCTATCGGATCGCATGGTTTTCCTATACAAGCCCTATAGGATTCCCATAGGAGCCTATCGGATCACATGGGATTCCTATACAATCCCTATACGATTCCAATAGGATCCTACAGGGTCGCATGGGATTCCTATACAATCCATTCCACGATTCTTATTGGATCCTACAGGATCGCATGGGATTCCTATAGAATCCTTGTATGATCCTTTAGGATCCCTATAGGATCCCATAAGATCGCGTAGGATCCCTGTAGGATTCCTATCGGATCCTGTATGGTCGCATGGGACTCCTATACAGTCCTGATAGCATACCGCCCGGATCCTAGAGGATCGCATGGGATTCTTGTACAATCCCTATGCGATTCCTATAGGATCCGACAGGGTCGCTTGGGATTTCTATACAATCCCTATCCGATTCCAACAGGATCCTTCAGGATCGCATGGGATATTTATAGAATCCCTGTATGATCCTTTAGGATCCCATAGGATCGCATTGGATCCCTATAGGATCCCGGTAGGATCCCTATAGGGTCCCTACAGGATCCCCATCGGATTTCTTTCGGAATCTATAGGATCATATAGGAGCCGATCGATTCCGGAGCTTCGCTGGTGCAGACATGGAAACACTGCACGAAGGAGGAGTTCACACCCTTACGCAAGCGAGGTTACAGCGGAGCGAGGAATGGAACCCGAGGTTGTTGGTTGCTGGTTGCCGGGGGGGGGGGGTTGCTTACCCCCGGGCGGCAAGGTCGCGGGTTGTCCTTGAAGGACAAGCATTGACCAAATTTCCCGGTGAACGGGCAACAAGAGCACGTGCCAATGTTGTTGTTGTTGTTGTTGTTGTTGTTGTTGTTGTTGTTGTTGTTGTTGTTGTTGTTGTTGAACATTATTCCTTCTAAAGAATTATTATTGTTGGGACCCCTGGTGCGCGACCTCTGCGCCGCGCCTAGGCCGCAGCTACATTTTCATCATTTTTTCGCGAAAGCTTCAGAAAAGTGGATGAGCTCCGGATCCGGTTTTTTGTTGACGCTCGTTTTCCCTTGCAAAAAACAATAGAAAATGAAAATTCTTGTTCTTAGTTGATCAAATTGCAAGAATCCCTTGCAAAAAATAAGGTAAAGTGGACATTCGTGCGCGCAAGACGAAATCCTTCCAAAACCTTAGGTTTCGTAGCGATTTTAACATAAAAACATCAAAAACCCAATGGTTTTTTAAGAAAAAATTGTCAAAATGTCCTTCCGCGCGCTCTTGCGGATTCATAGGAAACACACCACTTTTTAAACATTTCTGTCAAAAGGGTCTTTGCGTGCTACTTCTTCAGGTGCTTTGAACTTCTCCAACAACGGTTGCGCGCCTGCGAGGGCCACCATCCCTTGCAAAAAATGAGACGAAGTGCACATGCGCGCGGCCGCCGCGCGCGCATGTCGAAATCCTGCCAAACACAATGGGTTTTCAATAATTTCAAGATGCGATGTTCAGAAAACATATGAAAACGCACTACTTTCTCATCCGAAAAATCTCGAAATCCATTCGCGGTCTCTTGATGAATCTTTAAAACCCAAGATGGCCCCAACAGGCGCGCAAGATGGCCCCAAGAGGCGTCCATGAGGCCCAAAGAGGCGCCCAAGATGGTCCCAAGAGGCTTCAAGAGGACTCCAAGAGGCCCCCAAGAGGTTCCAGAGAGGCTCCAAGGTGGCTCCAAGAGACCCCCAAGATGGCCCCAGGAGGCGTTCTAGAGGCCCCAAGAGTCCGCCGTGAGGGTCCAATAAGCCCCCAAGAGGCCCCAAGATGGTTCCAAGGAGCCCCCCAAAGGCTCTCAAGTGGACCCCAAACCGCGCCAGGAGGCTTCCCCCCTTCCCCAAGAGGACCCCAAGCGGCCCCAGGAAGGCCCCCGACTGCTGACGCACATATCCGTAGCCATCTCGGATCAAGGTATCGCCTGTGTTCTTGGATCATGGCTTTGACGGCGAAAGACCTTCACGAGCAGTATGGCTTTGACGGCGAAAGACCTTCACGCGTACTTCAAGAAGGACCTCTGTGGGTGTGTACCCCACGCCAGTGTAGTAGCCAGGGTCGTCCGCACGCCACGAAGTGAAGTGTCCCAACGTCATAGGGCGGGAAGCTGGGTGTGGGTGGTCTCGAAGAGTCGTTTGGATATTTGGTAGAGCTTGAACGGCCCCCCCACGAAGTGGGGGTATTGGCTGGTGTCGCAAGAAAACCCTGGCACTGGGGAGAACACTGAGCGTTCGGGTAAAATGATTGTTGTTGTTGTTGTTGTTGTTGTTGTTGAGGTTGTTGTTGCTGTTGCTGTTGCTGTTGCTGTTGTTGTTGTTGTTGCTGTTGTTGTTGATGTTGTTCTTGTTGTTGTTGTTGTTGTTGTTGTTGTTGTTGTTGTTATTATTGCTGTGGTTGTTGTTGTTGTTGTTGTGGTTGTGGTTGTGGTTGTTGTTGTTGTTGTTGTTGTTGTTGTTGTTGTTGTTGTTGTTGTTGTTGTTGTTATTGTTTTTTATTGTCGTCGTCCCCCCCGCGACCCACCCGCGATTTACCCCGCGACCCACCCCGCGACCCACCCTGCGACACACCCCGCGACCCACCCGTGACCCAGCTCGCGACACCCAGGGACCCACCCCGCGACCCACCCGCGACCCACCCGCGACCCACCCCGCGACCCACCCCGCGACCCACCCGCGACCCACCCGCGAATCATCCGCGACCCATCCGCGCCTACTTGCGACCCACCCGCGACCCACCCCGCGACTCAACGGCGACCCACCCGCGACCGATCCACATTGGTTTGAAAAAAATCAGCGTCTGCGGCGGGTTCGTTATGTATTTCGTGAAACTTTGGCGCCTGCGGCGGGCTTCTCCAGAGTCTCGCAACCTGCCGACGTCCCACCGACCCCTCAGTCTTATCCGCACCTGCGGGGTGCTACGTAACTCCGTCCTTAGAGTGCACCAGCGTCGATTAGCGTCTGGTATGGCGAACGAACAACACACGGCCCATACACATAGGCTGGACGGAAGGGGGCTATGTGTGCGTGTTGTCGGATGGGGGTCCCCGCTTGAACGGGAGCCTTCTTTTGGGTACGACAACCCGCACCCGTACCCATAGCCAGTCCTGCTCCCTCCGACCCTCCCATGGGTACGGGGGTGTATGGTTCGTGCGTCATGGCAGCCGGTGAGACTGCGCCAATTCGGCGTCGATCTAGCGTCGACCTGGCGTCGATTCGCTTCGACGAGCGCCGATGCGCAAGGGCCAGCCGCGTGGCATGGGAGGCTCCCACGAGCTGCCGCAGACTTGCCCTCCGGCTCTCGCGGGTGCTGGGCGCCGGGGGTAAACCGTCAACCTTGGTTACCGCCGGGAGACTCGTAGAGCTTTCTTGCCATATATTATCCCAGAGAATTGGCAGAGAACGAGTAGTTTTTCATCCCCCAGCAGACTGATCTTAGGCGTCTAGATGGCGCCCCTGCGGCTCCCCGGGCGCCCGGGCACGCCGCACCGCCCCGCGGCTGGACGAGAGGCCGCCGACGGCCCTCGGGAGCGCCCGGAGGCCCGCCGACCGCCCCGCGGCGAGGCGGGAGGCCTGCTGTCCCTCCCCTGCCCCTCGCGCCTTTCGGCTTTCGGCTTTCGGCTTCGCAGCGCTCGCCTCCTCCTCCTCCCCCCCCCCCTGCCTCCAGGCTTAGGTCGGGCCTGCCCCTCTGCAGGGGGGGATCTGCAGAAGTCGTCGGAAGACAGTCTGGGGACGATTCTTTTTTGAAGCATGTTTTGACCATTTTGGGGTATTTTTGGGGTATTTGTAAAGCTTTCGTCCAAAATCGCCCTGTAGGGGGACAGGCCCGACGTAACTCCAGGCCTCCCGCATGGGGTCGGAGCAGGTGCGGTCGGAGGGCCGTGCCGCACCGCCGACGCATCGGCGAAGCGGCCTGATGTGGAGCCCGCTCTTCTCCGCGCGGACGTCGCCGCGGCATCGGCCAAGCACGCCAAGCACGGGCGATGCACGGGCGATGCGGCGACATCCTCCGGCCCCATCCGCTGCGACCCCACCTGGGAGGCCCCGCTGCCTCGTCGATCCGTGTGCAGGCGGCGCTGCGGGAGGCGATGGCCGCGTCCGACGGCTGGTCGCTGCAGCGGCTCTGGGCTCCCCCCACCCTCCCGCCCGGTCAAGCGCCGGCAGGGAGCAGGAGGAAGGAAAGGGGGGGATCGGTGTTGGAGCCGGCTGGGGGTCGGAGGTGGCCCAGCATTGGTTCGGGCCAGCAGGAAGGGGGGCCCCCGTTCGAGGTGCTGAGTCCGAGAAGTCTTCTTGCCTCTTTCTACCTCCAGGGGCCGTTTTTGGGTCCGGGGGCAGTCAAAGACGGAGCCGGACGTGGAGGAGTGCACCATGTGGACCCCAGGAGGGGTTCTGGGGACCGAATTCTGAACGCCTTCATCTAGTCGTGCGGGCCGCCGTGAGGGAGGACTGAAAGGAGGAATGGGGGATCGGTGGTTTTCGGTAGCAATTCAGCGGAGCCTTTCTTGTCCTCGTGATGCCGTCTTCAGAGTGCATTAGTGTGCGCGGATGTCTGGTAATCGAAGAGAAGGTGCCGGAGTAGCGTCGACTAGCGTCGATGAAGCGCAGGTTAGCGTCGGTTAACATCGATTAGCGTCGTTTAGCATCGGCCAGCGTCGATTCGCAAGAGCTAGAAAGACGGCATGGGAGGCTCCTCCGAATTGCCACCGAAGGTGTTTCGAATGGGTCGAACAAAGACCAACTGTATACTTATAAGCTTTCGGAGGTACGCGCGAATTTCTTGGGTCTGCGCTGGACCCCACTGGCGCGCTAGCGCCCCACGTCTCAGGGCGCCATCTTTGACTTGCCGAGGAACCGGGGGAAGAGGAGGAGGAGGACCAGTGTAAACCCAAGAGTCATCAACGATGTTGGAATTAACCCTCCCTCCGAGCTCTCGTTTCACAGGCCCCTACAAGTGTTCATTTCCATTGAGGAAAGTGCCTCGTTGGAATACAACCGTTTGAAGACCCTGAAGCATGCCAAATCATTGTTCTCGGGATTTCAACGCCACGGATCAACTGCAATGCTGCGTCTTGACGATGCGGAATAACACCGCGAATCAACATAGCTGTTGCACCCGCATAATTCTGAATCCTTCGGAAACACCATTTCTGGTACGTTGATCATGGGAATCCGTGATACTATTGTAGTTTTTTAAGACGAGTGTGCGCGGCGCTAAGGCGAGAACCACACTTTGAAAACTACCCGCCCTCAATCCGTGAAGCTCTTGCAATTCTTTAAAACGAATGTGCGCGGCGCTAAGGCGAGAGCCACTCTTTGGAAACCACTCGCCCTCAATCCGTGAAACTCTTGCATTTTTAAAACGAATGAGCGCGGCGCTAAGACGAGAGCCACATTTCGAACACCACCCGCCGTCCGTCTGTGAAACTGGTGCCCCTTTTTAAGCTTCGGGTTCATAAGTGGTGAGGGAGTCTCAGGCGAAACGGAGGAGGATGCGGAGGAGAAGAAGCAGGAAGAGGAGGAGCAGGAGCAGGAACAGGAGGAGGGGGAGGAGGAGGCAGATGAGGAGGAGGAGGACGAGCAGAGGAGGGAGGAGGCGGAGGAGGCGGAGGAGGAGGAGAACGAAAATAACGAGGACCATGAGGAGAAGGAGGTGGAGGAGGAGGAGGCGGAGGAGCAGGAGGAGGAGGAGGAGGAGATGATGATGATGATGCTGATGATCATGATGATGATGATGATGATGATGATGATGATGATGATGATGATGATGATGATGATGGTGATGGTGATGGTGATGGTGATGATGATGACGATGATGATGATCATGATGATTATGATGATGATGCTGACGGTGATACTGATCATGATGATGGTGATGATGATGACGATGATGCTGATGATGATATTGATGATGATGGTGGTCATGATGATGCTTATGATGACGATGATGATGATGCTGACGTTGATGATAATGATGATGGTGGTGGTGATGATGATGCTGCTGATGCTGATGATGCTGCTGCTGATGATGAGATTGATGATGATGATGCTGCTGCTGGTGCTGATGATGATGCTGATGATAATGATGATGATAATGATACTGATAATGATGATGATTATGATGATGATGATGATGATGATGAGGATGGTGATGTGATGATGCTGCTGATGATGATGATGATGATGATGATGATGATAATGATAAAGATGATGATGCTAATGATGATGATGATGATGATGATGATGATGATGATGATGATGATGATGATGATGATGATGATGATGATGATGATGATGATGATGATGGATGCTGATGATGATGATGATGATGATTGATGATGATGATGATGATGCTGAATGCTGCTGGCTGATGATGATGATTATGACGTGGTGGTGTGGTGGTGGTGATGATGATAGGCTGATGCCTGAATGTCTGTGCTGATGCTGATGATGATGATGATGATGATGATGATGATGATGATGATGCGAATGATGATGATGATGATGATGATGATGTGTTGATGATATGATGGATATAGATGATGATGATGATGATGATGATGATGATGCTGATGCGCTGCTGATGCTGAATGATGATGATGATGATGATGATGAGGATGATGAGATGATGATGCTGATGCTGATGGCTGATGCTGATGCTGAGCTGATCCTGGATGATGATGATGATGCTTGCTGATGCTGATGATGGATGTGCTGATGATGGATGATGATGGATGAGGATGATGATGATGAATGATGATGATGATGATGATGATGATGATGATGATGATGATGCTGAACGGTGGTGGGTGGTGGTTGGGGGAGGAGAAGGGAGGAGGAGGAGGAGGAGGAGGAGGGAGGAGGAGGAGGAGGAGGAGGAGGAGTAGGAGGAGGAGGAGGAGGAGGAGGAGGAGGAGGAGGAAGAGGAGGAGGAGGGCCTCCACTGGCCGCCAGCACCGCCAGGCGGCGGGGGGCGCCGGCAAGGCGCTCTCGGGTCCGGAGGGCCAGGCGCCTCCGCGCAATGGGCGCGCCTCCACATCCCGCTCCCCCTTCCCGCCATCCTCTCCTCTCCTCCGTCTCTCCGCCATCCCTTCCATATTCCCTCCTCCCTCCATCGTCCCTCCTCCCTCCTTTCTCCTTCCCTCCTTCCTCCTCCCCTGCCCTCCCTACTCCCTGCTCCCTCGTCCCTCGTTCCTCTCCCCCCCCCCCTCCCCTCCGCCCTCCCTCCTGTCCCCTCCCCTCTCCTCCCTGCTCCCTTCCCCCTCACTCCCTCCTCCCTGCTCCCTCCTCCCTCCTTTCTCCCTCCTCCCTGCTCCCTGAGGAGTTTGCTGATGGTGATTGTCGTGACCTGCTGAAAGGAACCATCGCCAAGTCCAAGACGGGCAACTGTTCTCCCCTGCGGTCCTTCGGGAGCCTTGAGTCGAGGTTCGGGCGGGCGTGGTGGAAGCCTCAGCTGTTCATCGTGTTTTCCAGGTGCACCTCGCGGACGCAGGGACGGTCCCTTTAGTGAGTGCGTCGTGGTGTTGGAGATGGCTGCCACCCGCGAGGAGTCCACAGCTTCGGCTCCGACTTCATAGGCTTTTTCACCCCGTCCTGTTCTGGAGTGCATCTCTGATGCCATAAACATGGCATGCCAAGTACTCCACGGACACCTCTTTCGTTGGGAACCTCTATCTGCCGAAGAGCCGCGTGTGCCCGCACAATGTCCAGCCTGTGTGTCAGTCCCTCCTGGAGCCTAGCCAGCAGTCGCATACAGCAAAACAATGCCTCCCTGCCCTCAGTCCTCCTCCTCGTCCTCGTCCTCGTCCTCGTCCTCCTCGTCCTCCTCGTCCTCGTCCTCCTCCTCGTCCTCGTCCTCCTCCTCCTCCTCCTCGTCCTCCCCTCAGTTCTGAGGTACTTCGCAAGGTAGTCCCGAGGAAGGCAGTCCTCACTCCTCCCTCCTGCTCTCCCCTCCCTCCCTCCCTCTCCTCCTCCCTCCTCCCTCCTCCCTCCTCCCTCCTCTCTCCTCCCTCCCTCCCTCTCCTCCTCCCTCCTCCCTCCTCCCTCCTCCCTCCCTCCTCCTTTCTCTGACCCCTCTCCCTGCACCCTCCCCGCTGTACCTCCCCTCTCCCCCTGCCTCCCACCTTTCCTCCCTCTCCCTCTCCGTCCTTCTTCCGTCTCCTTCTTCCTCCCTTCTTCCGTGCATCTCGCTCCCTCGTTGTCGTCGTCGCCGTCATCGTCGTCGTTGTTCTCCTCCTGCTCCTGCTCCTCCTCCTTCTCCTCCTTCTCCTGCTCCTGCTCCTCCTCCTCCTCCTCCTCCCTTCCTTCCCTTCTCCTCCTCCTGCTTCAGCCCTCCTTCCCTCCCTCCTTCTCTTCCTCCCCTTTCCTCATCCCTCCCTCTTCACTCCTCGTCCGGGCGTCTGCCTGTCTTGCTTTTTTCCAGTCAGTCAGTATGTTGTCTGCCTGTCCCTACCGGTCGATTTCCCCCCGCTGATTTTCATCGTGTGTGCGACCGCCAGTTCATCATGTGGCCCGCAGAGCTCTGGCGCCGCCGCCAGGCCTTGGGCCCGAGACGCCAGGACAGTAAAAGACACAACTGATGGCACGGGCAGCTCGGCCTGCCTGGAAGCTCCGCCGGGCTGGTGCTGTGCTGCGACAGCGCTTTGGGGTCGCAGCTTCGGCCAGGACGGTGCAGCGCCGCGTAGTGCAGCACCAGCCTTCGCCCTTGCCGATTGGGCCCGTGGATGCGCTTCCAGCTTTTTGCACCAAGCTCGTGATGTGCACGGCCCGCGCGCGAGCAGTCCACTTCCCCTCCGCCACTCTGCCTCCTGACCCATCGCCCGCGAGGGAGGCATTGCGGGAGGAGAGTGGGGGGACCGAGGAGGATGATACCGAAGATGAGGATGATGAGGATGATGATGATGAGGATGGGGATGTGGATGGGGATGGGGATATTGATGATGTTGATGCTGATGGATATGACTATGCTGATGAGGATGATGATTCTGATGATGATGCTGCTCATAATGATGATGCTGACGATGATGATGATGATGCTGATGATGCTGATGATGCTGATGATGATGCTGATGACGATGATGATGATGACGATGTTGGTGACGATGAATCTGATGACGATGTTGATGATGCTGATGCTGATGATGATGATGATGACGGTACAGAGGATGCTGACACTGATGCGGACGCTGATGCTGATGCTGATAATGTTGACGTTGCTGCTTCTGCTGGTGATGTTGATGATGCTGATGCATGTGGTGATGATGCTGATGACGATGCTGATGATAATATCGCTACTGATGCTGCTGCTGCTGATGATGATGATTATGATGATGATGATAATGACGATGCTGATACTGATGATGCTGATGATGCTGATGATGCTGATGATGATGTTGCTGATAATGATAATGATGATGATGATGATGATGATGATGATGATGATGATGATGATGA